GGGGACCATTCAGGCTTGTTCGCATTTGTGTTCCTCACGTGTGCCCCAAAGAATGAGGTGATTTGGTAAAATGCTATGCCCAAGATTACTATCCGAGTGCCGGCGGTGGGGTGGTTCAAATAGCCTCGGCTATCACCTCATTTTGTCCGGTCGTGATGGTCAAGTGGATTAAGGCGTCTTGTACATACCAGTTGCGTGGCTCCTGGGAGTATGGGTTCGAGTCACTTCTGGGGTGTGAGTTTTCAGTTGCATATTGTCCTGGGGACCATTCAGGCTTGTTCGCATTTGTGTTCCTCACGTGTGCCCCAAAGAATGAGGTGATTTGGTAAAATGCTATGCCCAAGATTACTATCCGAGTGCCGGCGGTGGGGTGGTTCAAATAGCCTCGGCTATCACCTCATTTTGTCCGGTCGTGATGGTCAAGTGGATTAAGGCGTCTTGTACATACCAGTTGCGTGGCTCCTGGGAGTATGGGTTCGAGTCTCTTCTGGGGTGTGAGTTTTCAGTTGCATATTGTCCTGGGGACCATTCAGGCTTGTTCGCATATATATATATATATATATATATATATATATATATATATATATATATTAATACATTATTATTAAATATGACCGAAAAAGTAAGATTAATAATTCTAACACGAATTTTCTCAATATTTCTTATATTTTTTTTCACTGATGATGGTAATTGAAAAATCAATTCTCCAAAATTAATTTTAATTTCTAGTCTGACGCGACACTTGAACGCGTTTCATAATAACTTATTACATTTTCAAAGACTTTAGTTTACACTCACACAACTATAACCTGCAAACATTAAACAGAGTTTAAACAGCTTTCATTTTATACCTGCATTTGGGTGAGGTGATATGTTACAACAGTTTTGGATGAGGTGAAAACAAACTTTCAACACAAGACAGGAAACGAAGCATTGGGTATAATATTGGGTAAGTTAACGGGAAGAATGGAAGTAACTGCAGAGGGCCTATTGGCCCATATTTCTTGATGCTTCTATATTGGTGCGGAGTCTGGAAGTGGGTAGAATATAGTTGTGCATTAATTGGCTGTTGATTGCTGATGTTGACTTCTTAATGTGTAGTGCCTCGCAGATATCAAGCCGCCTGCTATCGTTGTATCTATCGATGATTTTCGTGTTTTTTGTTAAGACTTCTCTGGTGATGGTCTGGTTGTGGGAAGAGATTATATGTTCCTTAATGGAGCCCTGTTGCTTATGCATCGTTAATCGCCTGGGAAAGAGATGTTGTTGTCTTGCCTATATACTGAGTTCTTTGAGGCTTACAGTCCGCAAGTGGGCATTTGAAGGCATAGACGACATTGGTCTCTTTGAAAGCGTTCTGCTTTGTGTCTGGAGAGTTTCTCATGAGTAGGTTGGCCGTTTTCTTGGTTTTATAGTAAATCGTCAATTGCATCTTCTGATTTTTGTCTGTAGGGATAACGTTTCTATTAACAATATCTTTCAGGACCCTTTCCTCCGTTTTATGAGCTGTGGAAAAGAAGATCCTGTAAAATAGTCTAATAGGGGTACAAGTATTATGTTGGTTGACTCTTGAGAGGTTGCATGGCGTTTCACCTTTTTTCTTATGATGTCTTGAACGAAACCATTGGAGAAGCCGTTAATGACTAGGACCTGCCTTACCCTACAGAGTTCTTCATCGACTTGCTTCCATCCTGAGCTGTGGCTGAGAGCAAGGTCGACATAAGCGTTAACAACACTCCTCTTGTACATGTCTGGGCAGTCACTGTTGGCATTGAGGCACATTCCCATGTTTGTTTCCTTAGTGTAGACTGCAGTGTGGAAACCTCCGCTCCTTTTCATGACTGTTACATCTAGAAAGGGCAGCTTCCCATCCTTCTCCATCTCGTAAGTGAAACGCAACACAGAATTCCGCTCAAATGCCTCCTTCAGCTCATGCAGATGTCTGACATCAGGTACCTGTACTGTGTAAAAATGTCGTCAACATACCTGCAGTATATGGCCGGTTTCAAGTTCATGTCGACCAAGTCCTTTTGTTCGATGGTACCCATGTTGAAATTCGCAAACAGGACACCTAGGGGAGAACCCATGGCGACCCCATCTACTTGCTTATACATGTGTCCATCCGGGCTCAAGAAGGGTACCTCTTTATTACAAGCTTGGAGTAGTTTCCTTAGAATGTTTTCTGGTATGTCAAGAGGAGTACAGGCCGGATCACGGAGTTGTGCATTAATTGGCTGTTGATTGCTGGTGTTGACTTTTTGGTGTGTAGTGCCTCACTGATTGTCGAGCCGCCTGCTTTCACTGTACCCATTGATGATTTCTGTGTTGTTTACGATTTCTCTAGTGATGGTCTGGTAGTGAGAAGAGATTATATGTTCCTTGATGGAGCCCTGTTGCTTATGCATTGTTAATCGCCTGGAAAGAGACGTTGTTATCTTGCTTATATACTGAGTTCTTTGGAGAATACAGTCCCCAAGTAGGCATTTAAAGGCATAGGCGACGTTGGTTTCCTTCAAGGCGTTCTGCTTGGTATTTGGAGAGTTTTTAATGACTAGATTGGCCGTTTTTTTGGTTTTATGATAAATTGTCAATTGTATTTTCTGATTTTTGTCTGTAGGGATGACATTCCTATCAACAATATCTTTCAAGACCCTTTCCTCTGTTTTATGAGCCGTCGAAAAGAAGTTCCTGTAAAATAGTCTAATATTATGTTATGGTGTTATGTTGGTTGACTCTTCAGAAGTTGCATGGCGTTTCACTTTTCTATTTATGATGTCTTCAACGAAACCTTTAGAGAAGCCGTTGTTGACAAGGACCTGCCTTACCCTACAGAGTTCTTCATCGACTTGCTTCCAATCTTTGCTGTGGCTGAGAGCACGGTCGACGTAATCGTTGACAACACTCCTCTTGTACCTGTCTGGGCAGTCACTCTTGGCATTGAAGCACATTCCTATGTTGGTTTCCTTAGTGTAGACTGCAGTGTGGAAACCTCCGCTCCTTTCCATGACTGTTACATCTAGAAAGGGCAGCTTCCCATCCTTTTCCATCGCGTAAGTGAAACGCAGCACGGAACTCTGCTCAAATGCCTCCTTCAGCTCCTGCAGATGTCTGACATCAGGTACCTGTGTAAAAATGTCGTCAACATTCCTGCAGTATATGGCGGGATTCAAGTCCATGTCAACTAAGACCCTCTGCTCGATGGTGCCCATGTATAAGTTCGCAAACAGGACACCTAGGGAAGAACCCATGGCGACCCCCATCTACTTGCTTATACATGTGCCCATCTGGGCTCAAGAAGGGTGCCTCTTTAGTGCAGGCTTGGAGTAGTTTCCTCAGTGTGTTTTCTGGTATATCAAGAGGAGTGCAAGCTGTGTCACGATACACTCTGTCTCCTATCATCCCGATTGTTTCGTCCACAGGTACGTTGGTAAATAGTGACTCTACATCCAACGAGGCTCTTATTCTCGTGGCCTGCGCTCCCCGCAGTAGGTCAACAAATTCCTTGTTGACCTACCAACTTTACCAACATTAATGACCTCCAACATTACCACCGACAGTGAAGAAATACCTAAGAAATATTGAGAAAATTCGTGTTAGAATTATTAATCATACCTTTTCGACCATATTCAACAACATATGTTTACAAGAAAGACTGCTACCAAAATATACTAATATATATATATATATATATATATATATATATATATATATATATAATATATATATTTTGGTAGCAGTCTTTCCTGTAGACATATATTATTAAATATGACCGAAAAAGTAAGATTAATAATTCTAACACGAATTTTCTCTATCTTTCTTACATTTCTTTTCACTGTTGATGGTAATTCAAAGATCAATTCTCCAAAATTTATTTTTTATTTCTAGTCTGACGCGACACTTGAGCGCGTTTCGTAAAACTTATTACATTTTCAAAGACTTTAGTTTACAAACACACAACTGAAACTGAATAGAGCTTTACACATCTTCGAGGTTTACATCTACATTTGGGTGAGGTGGATGAGGTGAAAAACGAACTTTCAACAATGGGTATTCAATGAGTATTAAATTCCAGCACAAGACAGAACACGAAACAATGGGTATTGAATGGGTATTAAATTCAAACACAGGACAGAACACGAAACAATGGGTATTGAATGGAAGTAATTGTAGAAAGCCTATTGGTCCATATTTCTTGATGCTTCTATATTGGAGCGGAGTCTTGAAGTGGGTAGAATATAGTTGTGCATTAATTGGCTGTTGATTGCTGGTGTTGACTTCTTGATGTGTAGTGCCTCGCAGACGTCCAGCCGTCTGCTATCGGCTGGACATACCATCACCAGAGAAATCCTAGCAAACAACACAGAAATCATCGATAGATACAGCGATAGCAGACAGCTGGACGTCTGCGAGGCACTACACATCAAGAAGTCAACACCAGCAATCAACAGCCAATTAATGCACAACTATATTCTACCCACTTGAAGACTCCGCTCCAATATAGAAGCATCAAGAAATATGGACCAAATATTGCAGATAATATTGCTGCTGTTGTATACACAAGTTAACCCTTAGAAAATGTAGCTTGTAGTGGAATTTTCTATCAATAGAAAACGAGATATCATTGCCACATAGTACTATAAATTCACCAACTATTCTGTTGGAATTATTCTTAAATACATTAGTCTTTGGACTTTTTATATCATAAAAACATCTCATTTGAATTAACTTAATCATCAGTATCAAAATAAAGTAAATGTGTCCCTTCTATCACTTATTGACATTGGAGAAGGAGAGCCAAGGCGTCAGTAGTGGAGGAGAGGTCAGCCATTGTTTGATAGACCAGAGTCATTGGAGCAAGTTTTGCTCCTAAAATTCTCTTGGATGAAGTGTTATGAAGATCAAAGTGTTCTACCATTATCAATACGCTGTCATCAACCACAAGGGAAGTGTCTTTCCGAAATCTTATCTAAGTCTTTATTGGCCAGTAATGTTAGCTAGATATGATTAATACCGGTTAGAACACAAACGATCGACTCAGCACAGGTAATTAAGCCTTGGTCCTTATCTAATATACAGTGTTTTCTCTGATATACTAGGATTCTGGCATTACAGCTAGTGCCCTTTGACAGGAACAAGAAGAGGAAGCAAGAATTAATCTTGGTACATCAGTAACTATGGGCGATGGAAGCTAGCCTCACACGAGGATAATTTGGTGTCTACAACCTAGTTATATCTGGTGGACTAAGCCTGCTGTTCAATAAGATAAGGCACCTCCAATTTATTTACTAATATATGTAGCTAATACTGAATTTTGATAGGCTGCATATATATAAATTTAATATAACCCCCCCCCTAATGTGTAAGGATCGATTTGTGTGAAATGTTGCAGAAATACAGTCCACTTAACATCATACAAATTTATATCGAAATATATAAATTAACATAAATATAAATTCTATATAAATTCATATAAATTAAACAAATATATAAATCTCAAAGGTCAGTTCCAACAGGTGACATGATAGAGGTTTACAAGTGGATGAATGGACATAACAAAGGGGATATTAATAGGGTATCAAAAGTATCAACACAAGACAGAACATAAAACAATGGTGTTTTGGATAAGTTTATCCGAAACACGAAACTGGACAAAATTGAATAAGTTTAGATTTAGGAAAGACTTGGGTAAATACTGGTTCATTAACAGGGTTGTTGATTTGTGGAACCAATTACCACGTAACGTGGTGGAGGTGGGGTCCCTCGATTGTTTCAAGCGGGGGGATGAACAAGTATATGAGTGGGATTGGGTGGTTATAAATAGGAGCTGCCTCGTATGGGCCAATAGGCCTTCTGCAGTTACCTTTATTCTTATGTTCTTATGTTTTTGTTCACTGTGAAGGGTAGCTGAAAAATTAACTCTCCAAAGTTAATTTTCACTTTATTATTTATGGTCTGATGCCTAAAAGCGTTTCGTAAGTACACATCTCACGTTTTACTACTGGATGTGACATGTCAGTTTCGTTAAGAAATAATTGAAGTGTTATCATTGCCATTTATTTTTGTATGATTGACGTGTATAAACGAATGGAAAAGTATAACATGGGGTTATTAAGAGAACAACAAACAATAAATACAAATTTACATGTTAAGATTTAGGAACTGGGAAAGAGAGTTCTTTGTTGATAGACCACATTCTCAGGTAAGAAGCGAGACTTGGGATCGCTGGTTTGTTTTAGGCAATGATTACACATTGAAAAAATTATGGCTTGTAATATATTGAAAATAGCTTCTGCGTGTTTCTGTTTTCGTAAAATGCTATGCAAAGAATATGAAATAAAGAGAATATAAGAATACGAAATTACATAATATTATATTAATTTATATAACTAATATTATGTTAAAAGTATATATAATTTTGTTTTGTTGTTCCTCTGCAGAGCCGCCGCCGGGGCTGGTGTGGGGTGGCCGGGGGTCGGCGCTGGGGAGCGGGACCAGCGTGGAGCACCAGGGCTCACTCTCCACCACCTGGATGGTGGTGGTGGCCTCTAGGGCCACGGCCCACACCACCATCACCTGCTCCACCACCAATGCCTCCTTCTCCTCCGGCCTCATGAACACTGTCAGCACCACCATCACAGTCAACTGTGAGTTGTGACTTTCACTGTTTACAAGGTGCCACTGCTACGGTGTCTTGTTTACGTGTTTGTGTATGGTGTCTTGTGTACGTGTTTGTGTATGATGTCTTGTGTACGTGTTTGTGTATGTGTTTGTGTACGGTGTCTTGTGTAGGGTGTTTTGTGTACGTGTTTGTGTAAGAACATAAGAACAAAGGTAACTGTAGAAAGCCTATTGGCCCATACTAGGCAACTCCTATTTATAACCACCCAATCCCACTCATATACATGTCCATCCCACGCTTGAAACAATCGAGGGGCCCCACCTCCACCACGTTATGTGGTAATTGGTTCCACAAATCAACTACCCTGTTACCGAACCAATATTTACCATGTCATTTCAAAATGTAAACTTATCCTATTTATATCCATTGTTTCGTGTTCTGTCTTATGTTGATACTTTTAATACCCAATTGATATCCCTTTGTTATGCCCAGTAATCCACTTGTAAACCTCTATCATGTCACTCCTAGCTCTTCACCTTTCCAATGAATGCTGTGACGGGAAACGTTGGTGGTCGTGCAGTCTCTGTAACGCCAGTCACAATATATAAAAAAAGAAAAAAAGTTAAACTGCAAAAGGTGTCTTCACAGTGAGATAAACTGTAGGATAAAGTAGAGGGCAAAAACATTTAAAAATACTTTACTTTAAAACAAAAACTGAAGTTAAACAAATTACAAAACATAAAATAATATCCAGGCTTGGCTTTAGTACAAAGTGTGAAAAACAAACAAGATGAATACTCAAATTTATGTTACGTTAAGGTGCAAAATAAAATATGGTGCAGAATGCTGTTAGCTAGTCTGTCTAAATTCGTTACCATACCGAGATGTGTCAATGGGTGTACTCAGTTGAGCACACAGGAGTAATCTGAATCTTATAGAGCTTGGTAGCCCTATTTATACAGAATATTGGCCAGCCAGCTGGCGCTGATGGCTTCTTTAACTATGAACTGGCTCACTTCAACTGCTTGCTTGGGAGGGCGTGACCTCCAGGCAACCCAGGTGCGAGGTGGGGTGACGGGCCGTGGTGAAGGAGGGAGACTGGTGGTATTGTCTAGACGTCTGGAAGTTGTTGTTGTTTGTTGTTATTGTTGGCTGCAGTTCTTGGTTAAATAGACGTGAATGAGTAGAATAGGTGATAATGGAGTATTCCAGATCTCTTCCTAGAGATTTTACCGTGACAGCTCTCCCCCGAAGCCTGCTCCTATTGCCTATTCGACTGCAGCGGAGTGTAGAATAGTAGGAGTGGATGAGTCCACCCCGTGGACTCTTGAAAGTGCATCGGCGACGACGTTGTTGGAGTCTTCGATGAAGTTGGTGATGTTGAAGTTCTGCAGGTACAGGGCCCAGGGAAGCAGATGTTGGTTGGTGAACTGGGTCTGCTGCAGAAGCTGGAGAGGATGGTGCTTGAAGATGTTCAGGTAGCACTACAGGACTCTGAGAAGAATGAATCTACTGTAAATCGAGCCTGCTGAATGGATCGACAAGAATGGTGATCCATGGAGAGGGTGAGACTGTTCCTCTGATGCAAGACCCAGCATAGCAAGTGCTGATTGGAGAACTGGGCTAGCAGTAGGAACTGAAGGAGATTGTGATACATAAGGTTCACATGTTGATGCAGGATTCAGCGAAGTTTGGAGAGCTGATTTTGATATAGGGACCAAAGAATGTTGAAGTCCGAGGTAAGGTTGAAGTTGTAACCTAGTAGATTGGATGACACGTTGTGTTGCCCGTCAGGCAGGATGGCAAGTGGCTCCTCTCTGATGACTATAGCTATAGTTCATGATACCATCTCGCGGTGGTGTGATGGTGTTCCTATCGCCAGAGTGGAAGGATGAAGGTTTTCTAATACCTGGCAGGGCGAGAATGGAGTTAATCCGAGAATAGGATTTACGCCTTTCAAATGCATTGGAAGGCATGTTTGTCTTAAAATATTTTAGCTGAGGGCTGGTAAAGTTGTCTGGAAGAGCACGTTTATTTGGATTTGGTTCATAGGGAGAAGCATCTTTCCTGGTGTTGGAATAGATCGAGAATTTAGAACCATTGTAGTCAGTCCAAATACATCAAGAAGGATTAGACAATACCTTGGTGATGAAGGTTGTCTTACTCAGGTCGTTGGAAGAGATGGTATCACACTTGTTCTTACTTTTTTGACGGTGTGCATACTGCGGGCACTGCTTCCCGAGGTGTTTCACAACGTTAGCAGCCGTACTATTCTGGACGGAAACTGCTGTAGAATACCTGATGGTAGAACACGGAGTATTACACACGGGAACATTACCTGAGCTTGTCTCGGACAGAGGCTCGTCAGAGTTGTTGATACGGCTGAACGGCTCAGAAGACACTGGTACCTGTATTGGTACCTGTATTAGGGATGCCTTTAATAGAAGAGCGTTCAGCTTACCTGTCATCTGAGACATGCGACAGTTTTTGACATGGTGTTTAATATCTCGAATCATACCTGGCCAGTAGTAGTCCTGTTTCAGGGCCATGTAGGTCTTGTAGAAGCCGTAGTGTGAGCGAGATCCCCGGACCAGACACAAGATATCTGATCGTAGGCTGTAGGGAACTACCAGTCGTTTGATGGTGACCCGATTGTCGTTCACCTTCAATTTCCTGGTTCTATAATGCCGGTACAACACTTTATTTTCTACAACGAAACCAGGGATAGAGTTAGGTTGTGCCTCAGCCTGTAAGAATAAAGATGTTAAGGAGGGATCCTCTCTCTGCAAATTATGGAACTCTAGCACTGAGAGATTCCGTGGGAGGCTCTGAGGATTTTGAGGAACAGCTGTAGCAGCTGGTTTCGGGCGTGCAGCTGTGGCCAGCTTTGTGACCATAACAGGAGGGAAGGCGTTGTCAGAATCTGTTGCTTGGACCTCTTCAACCAACTGCAAAACAGGATTTTCCACTGCCGAGTCACATATCTGGGGATCTTCCTTGATGATTACATTCGCAGGTTGTTGATTTTCGGTCAAGTCGTTACCCACGAGAAGTTGAACTCCTGACATGGGAAAAGGCTTTTCCCGGATGGCGACTTGTACTTCACCATGCATAAACGGACAATCCAGGCGGACTCTGGCAAATGGATATGGAGTAGTGGCTGTTAGGTCTATGGTGAGAACAGTTTCTCCGGTGTAGGTGACGTTGAGTACAGCTGATTTCAAAAGAATGGACTGTAGAGCAGCTGTGTCCCTCAAGATCTTTACTTTGAACCTTTCCTCCAAATTCCACGGCTGGCAGAGACTGTTCCAGAGTACAAGTGTCTGTTGAAGAGAGAGAGAGATCAGTGGAAGAAACAAAAATATTCACCACAGGCTTAGGACACTTATGAATTTTAGGAGGAGGTGATTTGGGCTTATTTTCACTGCTGACCTTACAGGAAGGATTGGTACACTTTTATATGGTACGCCCATATATGCTCACGTTGTAGGGCAAATAGTTCTTTCTCATGCTCACGTTGTTTTTCAGCGAGCTTAAATTGAAGTTCGGCTTCCCGTTTCTTCCTTTGGAGAGCTTCCTTTTCACGCTCATGGTCTAGGGTAGCTTCACGTTCCTTCCTCTAGAGAGCTTCCTTTTCAAAGGCAGCTTGATCTTTCAGACGTTCACGTTCGGCGTTAGCGAGTTCTAGCTTTAATTTCATGGCTGCCAAGGCGTTTTTGTCTGCAATTAAGTAATGTTCATGAGATTCAGGAGTAATGGCATCATTGTCTAATAAGTGGTCCAAGATGAGGTTGTGCAAATCAGTTGTAGTGGCTCCATGTACTGTACAGGTTGTACTCATTTACTAGAGTCAGCATCTTCGCCTTGGTGGCACGAACTAGTTTGCTCACTTCATTGTTTGGATTCTGTCTAAATGTGGAAAGACGAAACATGGTGAATGATAGCAAATATATGCATAAGAATACCCAGGTGGATGTACTAAAATACGAGATGTCAGTGACAGGATGACGTGGCAACGGTAAACTATCCTGTTTAAACTTAATTGCCAAGGTTACAATCAAGATCAAAAAGTTAAACTAAGCGTTTCAAGGAAGTAGGAAATCTTGTACCCGGTACTCTATATGACGAGGATAAGGGTAAGAAGGATCCTACTTGAATGGTGAGACAATTGTCTCGAAGGAAGTCCAAAAAGTGTAGGGATTTCTTACCTTATCGCTAATGACAAGAGCAAAGGTAAGAGGTTTCCTAATAAAACTAGATAGTACTTACAGAATCAACAATCTTTTTGCTCTGGAAAAGAATGTTAACTCCCTACCTGAGTAAGTACCATATTTCTGACCAATGCGTAGGGTGCGAAGTGTCAATAATGACGAGAACTGCTTGTTGGGGTCCCAACCTTACAGCAGAGTCCATGCGAGAGGAACTTTGGCCCTGTATATCCTCCTACGTTCGGGTTGCAACGATGTGGGTGTACTTGATCCGAAGACAGGCCAAAGTACCAAAGGGGGTGATCTGTCTGAATGAGAACTCTCCTGTAGGGACGAGAATAAGGTGGAAACACAGGATATAGCAAAGATTATGGAGCAACCAATCACGATTATGACTGTGGCCACCAGACACCACGTAAGGTTATCTTCTTGAGATGCTTTCGGGGCTTTAGTGTCCCCGTGGCCCGGTCCTCGACCAGGCCTCCACCCCCAGGAAGCAGCCCGTGACAGCTGACTAACACCTCAGGTACCTATTTTACTGCTAGGTAACAGGGGCATAGGGTGAAGGAAACTCTGCCCATTGTTTCTCGCCGGCGCCCGGGATCGAGCCCGGGACCACATGATCACAAGTCCAGCGTGCTGTTCGCTCGGTCAACCAGCTCTGACGTAATCCAAAGTCATTCAACAATCATAAAATGCTACATCTGGAAAGCAAACAGTATGAAACATCATTAAAATTATTCAAAGAATAAGAGTTTTGAAAAAATTTATTTGTAATAAAGCCAAGTACAGTTACCGCAACTTTAAGTGAAGGGTC